ATAAAAAGGAAAAAAAAACCACACTGCAGGTTCGATTCCCAATCAGGGTACATACCTAAGTTGCAGGTTCAATCCCTGGTCAGGGTGCATCCTGGAGGCAACCAATCAATGTTTCTCTCTCTCACGATGTTTTTCTCTCTCTTCCTCTCCTTTCCCCTCTCTAAAATCAATAAAAGGGGAAGGGGGGGGGGGAGATATAGCACGAAAAGATTTGCAATACATCCCCAACAAAGGGTTTGAATCTAGACCACATAAAGGACCCTAACAAATCAATAAAGACAACTCAGTAAAAAAAGATAACCAAATGACCAATAAACAAGGTGGATCAGAGTAGGTTTAAGTTGTTTGCATGGAAAATACAATAATAAATAATAATACAAGAATAAACTGTGTTTCACAACTATAAATTTACTTTGCCCCATCCTGTAAGTATATGAAAAAATGCTCAATGATTTCAACACTGACTACTAATGTAGGATAGAAAAATAAAAATTAAAAGTAGGAAATTCCATTCTATACCCAGCAGTACTGGCTGGGTATAGACTGACAATATTAAGTGTTGGTAGGATGCAAAAAAGGAATTATAAACCATCAGTAGCATCAACTGGTACAACTACTTTTTTTCCAAAGGTTTTTATTAATTTTTAAAGAGGAAGTGAGAGGGAGAGAGAGACAGAAACGTCAATGAGAGAGAATCATTGATTGGCTGCCTCCTGCACACCCACTAATGAGGATAGAGCTCACAACCTGGGTATGTGCCCCGACTGGGAATCGAACTGGTGACCTCTTGCTGCATGGGATGATGCTCATTCCACTGAGCCACACCAGCTGGGCCTGGTACAACCACTTAAAAAGTTTCCATTTAAAACTGCAAAATATGTGTCCCTTATGTCCAAACAGTTCCACTCCTCAGTGTGTATGTGTGACACACATATAAAATCGGGAGAAATATACATGCACAACACACAAGGAGATATATTCAATTAAGTTCATACCAGCATTATTTACAACAGTCCCAAACTGGAAACAACCCAAATGAGACAGGCCAGTAAGCCAGGGCAAGTGGAATCAAGAAACTGAGACAAGAAAATTAAGGCCAAACAGTTTGGGTCACTTACAGTCAGCTTGTGAATCACAAGACCTTATTATCTTCCCCAACCAAGAACACTTGAGAGCAAATGGTTAATACTTCTCCCTAACCAGAGAACACACAGCTTAAATCACCCTGGAAGTACTATCGCGGGAGCGGAGAAGGGCGAAAAAGCGAGTTTATCTCACATACTGAACGAAGAAGTCAGCAGTGCCAAGATAAAATTGCAAGATGTTCTCATAAATTCTGGGAAAAGCAACAACAAAGTATAAGTGGGACTTTGAAATCTACTCTTATCCAAGATATTTGGCAGGGAAGCTTTGAAACCTAAACCCCTTAATTCCACCGGGCGGTGCACTCAGATCAGCTAGGTGCCTGCTTGTGCTATGTGCCCAGTGTATTGTTAATAAGTTGCTTGCCTTGCTTCCTTAATAAATTCACTTGCTTTGCTACAATGCTGCTGGTGTCACTTATTCGAAATCTTTCTTACATGACTGACAAAAACTGAGAAGAGAGCCCTCTCCCTCAGACTCGGGGCTGTTTGGTAACATCTTTTCTGGTGTCTGATAACACAAAAGGGATGTCTAGAGCTGACAATTTAATAATTCCTAATTGGGGGGGGGGGTTACACAGGTGTCAGCTTTGTTATAATTCACTAAGCTGTATAATAAACATATTTACTTTTACACTAAATAATAAAAATTAAATGGCCACACGTTAGAAAAAAACTGCCAGTTTACTATGTAAAAATGACTAATTCAAAATTGAAGCCAAACCCCAGATTCTGTCAGATTCATTTAATTTATCTGAAAACAAAAATTACATTTAGCAGTAAACTCAAAGAAAGAACATGGCTAATATACAAATTTAGGTTGAATACCATTCCCCCAAGCTGACATTCACCACAGTAACTTAGTCTGCAACAGACCACCACAGATGGATGGCTATGAAAAGGGATTCTGCAGACTGGGTATTTCAAATCCTTGGACTACAGGGTGGCCTAACCGCTATCAGGACCCTATGTTCATCAACCGGTGGCTCACTCAACAGTTTATACAGTAACTGCTAGCATACTGTTCTGGGGCACCAATACCTTTCATCTTATTTAGATAACTCATTCACCTACAAATCCAAGGTCCTGAGAACTGTAAGTTTTACTCAACTTATATCACTAAAGTTTAACCCTCCTTTACTATCTTTCATTTGGAGGTGGGGGTAGGGGTGTAACATCTATGTTTATTTGAGGCACCAAAGCATGAGGAGAGCTCCAGTGTGAGAGTGGAGGGTGGGGGCTGGATTTGGGGGGTAGGAGCTGATCCCTGGGCCCATAGCTTAGACCTGGAGGCTGCTGTTGAAGTGAGTGGAGTGTGGGGTACTAAAATGCCCAAGAATGGGCTCTGGTATTGAAGCTTGGGGTTCTCAGGCTGCTTACCCCCAAAATCCACCAAGCACAGCCAACAAGGCCACACAGATACACCTGTCCATATAGCTGGGTATCTGCAACCACAGCATGCTTCCCCTTCCAAGACACAGTGGTACAAAGCACATCTTACATGTCACTGTCTGGGGGTGAGCAGGTCCTAGGACTTCGGAACCCTACCCAGTGTGTCCCTGTGACTCAGTTCTGACTCCCGGACCAACAGGCTCCAGGGGGACCCTTGTTGGAGTAAGGTCACATCACTGACCCTGGAAGTGAGGGCAGCTGGCTCCTCCTGAGGGCAGGGCAGGCCTGATGGTGGGGACTGAGGACTAGGGGGTGAGGAATCAAGGAATCTGGGCAGGGCTGGACTTTCCTTCTTGAGCTGTAGGAGTCAGGGCCTTGCACAAGGTCCCAGTGGTCAGGGGCCAAGCTGCAGCAGAACTGACAGCAGGTTGAGCAGGAGCCGGAGAACAAGCACACTGGTACTGGCCCACAGTCCCCCATTGGCCACACTGGAGCTCTGGTGAGCAGGGAAGAGCCCTTGTTCAGTCTGTGACCAAAGTCCACCTTGTTCCCCATGCCAGCAGCAGCGGATATAGTCATGCAGTAGTTGTCAGAGCCAGAGAAGATGGTGGGCTTCAGGCAGTAGAAGTTGCTGTTCTGATTCTCGCAAGAGAAACCCACTAGGGAGTGGGCTTGCTCTACACACCCAGAAGGGACACCAGAAGCACTGGCAGAAAAACTTTCTTTCTGGAGGAGACAGGCTCCCATCTGGGTCTCACGTGCCAAGAAAGCACCCCCTCCTCACCCAAGGAGCTGGCACTCCTTTACTATCTTGAACATTTTTTAGTTTTGCCCATTTTTGAGGCTTTAGGTACACTGCCTACAATTCTTTGGGACCTACGAAATTAAGAATGTATGAATAGGGCCATACCACCCTTCTAGCCAAATATCTTCTAAGTATTTTCTATGTGCTAAGTACAGTGTTAAATACAGATGATAAACAGTACAAGATCAGCTCCACCTCTCACCTCAATATATTTGGGAAAATTATACCTAAAAATACCCCTATCCTTTTTTTTTTTCTTTACTGACTCTAGAGAAAGGAAGGGAGACGGAGAGAGAGAAACATCAATGAGAGAGAACATCGACTGGCTGCCTTCTGCATACCCCCCACTGGGGATTTGGCCCACAACCTGGGCATGTGCCCTGACTGGGAATCAAAGTGGTGACCTCTTGGTGCATGGGTTGACGCTCAACAACTGAGCCACACTGGCTGGGCAAAATGTTCTATCTTCACTGCAACTAACAATAGTATTAATGGCACTGGACTTGATTTATTTATTTACTGGACAAAACTTTTCAACGTCAGCAAGTGTGTACGCTACACTTCATCTCTATATCCTCAGGACCCACCACAGCCCCTATCACAGGACAGCTGATTAAAAAGTTTGCTGAATGACTGAACAAAAAAATTAACACAAGGTAGCACAGGGCTAATGAGAAATACATACAGTGAAAATAATCCAATATAAAGACATGACCACTATGTAGGGCCTTTCTTCATCTCTCCCCTTCACTCCAGCCTCTAGCCCACAATTCATTCCCTTATTTAATAATGGGATGTAGCCCTGGCGGGTTTGGCTCAGGAGTTAGAGCGTTGGCCTGCCGACCAAAGGGTCTCCGGTTTGATTCTGGTCAAGGGCACCTACCTGGGTTGCAGGTTCCATCCCTGCCGGTCGGCAGGTGGGGCCGTGCAGGAGGCAACCAATCAGTGTGTCTCTCACATGGATATCTGTGTCTCTGTCTTTTGTCTCTCCCTCCCTCCCTCCATCCCTTCCACTATCTCTGAAAAAAAGAAAAGAAAAATATCCTCAGGCGAGGATTAAAAATAATAATAATAATAAAAACAATGGGATATTCCCTGTATTCTGGGAGCCACCCTCTAGCTGTACACCAACACAGACGGAACACCAATGCTTTAAATGCGGAAACAGAGCCCCGAGAAGGGCGCACCTCACTGCTGCGGAGGTCAGGGTGGAAACAGGCAGAAAAAGGTGGACTCAGGAGGGGGAACGGTGAGCGCCAGGCGGTGGGAGGACAGTGGCAGGTATGGCTCGCGGCGGCCATCAAATGATGCCCAGAGGACAGGGTGGCAGTAGCCAGTTCGGAAGACCTTTAAATTTCTTTATTTTTCCAGTACAGTGATAAACCTGAAGATTTCAAACCAGAAAACTGACTGCGACTTCGGGAAAAAAGGAAACGACGGCGTGGACACGGATTCTGGGCAGCACACTCATTTCAACGTCACCCCTTTCCCGGGAACATGGCCCCAATCAGGTGTGTCAACGCCGAGTACGGTGTGACCCGGTCACCGACCCTCACACCCGCCCCCCAGACGCTTCCGGGAAACAACCCTCACAACTTTCCGAGACCCCCCTCCACCGCCGCCGCCGAACCACCCGGCCCGCGCCCGGCCCGCTCACGTACCCCCTCGGTCTTCATGTCCAGGATCCTCTCCACCTCGAACACATCCTCCCCGTCCTCCTCGCTGTCCCCCACAGCCTCCACTCCTTTCGTCCCCGCGTCCCTCTCATTGCCCGCCGCTCCCTCGCCTTCGCCTGCAGGCGGCCCGCCGTGGCTGTGGGCGCCCGGCACGGGAATCGCGGCCACGCTCGCCCGGTCTGCTGCCGCCGCCGCCATAGCAGGAGCGCTGCAAACCCCGCGCGAGCGCTCGCGACGCACGCCCAGCGCTCTCCGCGTGCCGAGCCCTTGCCCGATTGGTCCGCGTGACGCCACTGGAGGAGAATGAGCGTCGGCGGTTCCGGAGCCCCGGAGCGATAGCTCCCCAACCAATCACGTCCAGGCGGGCTCGCCACAGCCCCGTGGCGTCCAGGGGAAGTGGGTGGGCGGGCCGAGGGGCGCTGGGCGGAAGAGGATCGGGGCGGGCGCTTGGGGGTCCGGGGAGGAGGAGCGGGGACGGCGGGGGAGGGGCTTACACAGAGGGTGGTGGGGCGGGGCCGCGGACTGACCTGAGTTCCGGGAGGGGTTCGGCATCCCCGAGAGAGCGCCGGCAGGGACGGCCCTACGGGGACCCATCGTCAGTGGACTGGCGGGCTGGCCCGCAGCTTTCTGAGAAAATCACCCCGGGGCCTCCGAGACCAAAGGGCCGCAGCGCAGCGCCCGGAACTTCACGTGTAAGATTGGGACGCGTAACGCCTGCCCACAACTCGGAGTGTTGTACACTCTAGCGACTGTTTTATAAAGATGAGGACAGTGTTTATTATAAGACTAAAAACCATGTTTTCCAGATTCTACTTGGGTTTTTTTAATCCCCCTGTTGGAAATACCTGATGCGTGTGGGGTGAGGAGGGGACTGGGTAAAAAGATGGAGGGATTTCAGACATGCAAATTGGTAGTTACAAGATCGTCTCCGGCATGTAAAGTACAGCATAGGGAATATAGTCAATCATACTGTAATAACTGTGTATGTGCCAGGTGAGTACTTGAAATATCAGGGAACCACTTTATAAAGTAAGTGAGTGTCTAACCACACTAAACTGTACATCTGAAACCAATGCAAAATAATATTGAATGTAAACTGTAATTAATAAAAATTTTATAAAAAGAAAATATCGGAGGATGTGTTAAAAGTATCTTCTGTGGGTTATGAACGATAGACAAAGGTAGTCACCTAAAGTTGCTAGGAAAGTCCACTTAAGGGTAAATATTTTTCTCACTTTGAATTGCAAATAAAGTCTACCACAGCGAGTTTTTCATTTTTGTTTCTTATAACGATGGACTTAATTTGAAAAATTAGCTTTTTAACTTTAACTCTAGGTTAACGAAAGACCGCGGTATGACCAGCACATCCCTTTGGAGAGGATCACAAGCTTTAAGTTGGTGCATTATTTTGTCTTTATTGAGCTTACGAAATGTACTATGACATACTAGGTATTAGGAACACAAGCATAGTCTGCCTTCCAGGGACTCAGTCTATAAAAGGAAAACACACAATTCTAATAATTAGATATATTTTTTTAATTAAAAAGTTTTGTTTTTTAAATCTTTATTGTTGAGAGTATTACAGATGTGCCCCCTTTTCTTTTCCCCTTGTCTCCCACCACCCAGTTCCCACCATGCCCCAGGCCTTTACCACCCTATGTCTGTGTCTATGATCAATACATATATGCATACAAATTCTTTGGTTAATCTTTTCCCATCCCTTCTCCCCTCTTTTCTCTGAGATTTGTCAGTCTGTTCCATGTTTCTATGTCTCTGGTTCTATTTTATTAATCAGTTTATTGTGTTCATTAGATTCCACATATAAGTGAGAACATTAGTTGATAGGGGAAAGCTCATTATTTCAGAAGAATTCCAGCTGATGAGTACAGAAGAGAGAATCACGAATATTTCATGAGAATGATTCAGGCAACAAAACTATTAGGTGAAAGATGGATGCGGAACTGGATGCCAAAATATTTCCACAGATTCTGTGGAAACTCACTGATCAATGTAAACATTATTAAAAGTAAAACAGTAACCAGACTCAATAGCTTCTGTGGATGAAAATGTTGATTCTTAATCTACTCAGGTCTTTAAACCTCATTTCCAGTTACAAGAAACATGAAGAGAAAAGGAAACAATCAGAAGAGTCCAAAATGTGCAACATCCTGTAGGACAACTGACCCTGTTTCTTCAGTAAGTCAGCAGAAGAAGAAAATAAGGTTCTAAATTTATAAAACCTTGGCAAAATACTTTAAATCTTGAAATATATATACAGAGAGAGTGAAAGGGAGAAAAAGCAAAACATAGATTTGTGATTCCACTTATTTATATATTCATTGGCTGATTCTTATATGTGCCCTAACTGGGGATTGAACCCACAACCTTGGTGTATGAGGACGATGCTCTAACCTACGGAGCTACCCAGCCAGGGCTCAGTATATAAAATATATAAAAAAATTTATATATATATTTATTGAAAAAATTTTCAATTAACCCAAAATATATAAGATAGAAATAAAGTTCCTACTTCTCAAAGGTAACCAGTCTGGAATATGACATGATAGATTATGTAATACATATATAAACACCCATTTATATAATTTTTTTTTTTTTTTATCCTCACCCGAGGACATTTTTCCATTTTGTACAGATAGAGTGGGAGGGAGAGAGAGGAAGAGACAGAGAGAGAGAAACATCGATGTGAAAGGGACACATCGAGTGGCTGCCACCGCACGACCAACCAGGGCCGGGGACAAACTGCAACCGAAGTAGGTGCCCTTAGCGGGAACCGAACCCGGGTCTCTCCGGACCGCAGGCCGGCGCTCTAACCGCTGAGCCAAACCGGTCAGGGCCATTTATAGAATTATTTAAATGAGTTTTATTACACATCGTTCTGTGTATGGCCATATTTCTGTAAGATGAATTTCTAAAATTTATAGGTCAAGGAGAGGGTAGTGATTTAAATTTTGATAAATACCTGTATTGCGAAATTTTGTTTTACTAGAATATGTTTCCAGTAACAATGTAAGTATCTGTTCACTCACATTCTCTCTTACTGGGTGTTATCAATCATTGAAATCCCTTAATCTAAAAAAAAAACATGAAAAGGCTGTTTATTATTCTGTGATTATGTCAAGCAGACAAGCAGGCAAAGATATAACAAGCCACTGTAGATTTAGATGATTTATTACTTACATAAATAGCAAGAGGAAGAGTAGTCAAAGACACCACCTCCCCTCGTCCCACATTCCCAAAGGAGCTAGAGTTGTGAGACACATCATTGCTGAGGAGCCAATTCAAGATACAGCTGGGAGGTTTTTAGTCTGCAGCTGTATCCTGAGCTTCACACCTCATTATAACTGGGAGGTGATGGGAAACCATCTCATGACAGCCTCCCATAAAGACACGGAGGGAGGTGGGAGAAGGCTGCATGGCAGCTCCTCACAAGCCTCTCATTCTTTGAGTACTACCAGGATCACAAGGCCTCTACCAAAATTCAATAAGCTGCAGTCTGAGCCCAGGGAATTAGGATGGGTCACACATCAGGATGTTGGAAGTTACTCAAGATAAAGGCAGGACTAGCCGTAGAAGGGGAAATCCTGAACCATGTGAATGAGGGGAGGTATTGGACAGTTGGTGAATGGCAGCAATTAGGACAGGTAGGAGGGTAGCCAAAAGATTGTATCCCAAATAAACAGGTTTACGTAAAGGTAGAGACTAAAGGGCCTAGGAGGGGTACTGTGAAGGAGAGTGGACCTTATACCTTTCACAAAAATAACTGAAACTGGACCATAGACCTAAATGTAAAATGCAAAACTATGTAACTTCTAGAACATAGGTGAAAATCTAGATGACCTTGGGTTTGGTGATGAGATTTGAGATGCAACACCAAAAGCAAGAGCCATGAAAGCATTGCTTGAGACACCCAGTTTCTCTAACAAGAAATGTATCGGGATCTGCAGAGTAGGGACCCACCCACACCAAGGAGTATGCATACTGGGGGTCAAGGTCTGGATACCCAGGACCCAGGAAATGGGAATGAGGACATTGGCCAAAGACCTTGTTTCTTCCCAGCGTGCTCAGTCCAGCTGTACCAATCTGTACCAGACTCCTGAAAGGGGAGAGGGCACTGGGCTTCCAGGACCATCCACCCGTGTCTTTTATCACCTTAAAACATTTAAACACAAGAAATCTGTAATGCCGTAATTTTTATTTTGCTATTGCTTGTTCATTAAAATAATTCTGCTTCCATTTATTTTAAGTGACCTATTGCTACATTTGATAAAATCATAATCAAATTTCATTATAGATATCTATTAATATTATTATTTTATAGATAGAAGCATGAAAAAAGCTTAAAATACAGCTTCATCTGATTCAGCCTTGACCACAATTAAGAGCTCTATAAAGAGGAGAGGTGGTGTTCATGGGTGGGATTCCCAGTAGTTGTTTAGTGGCGCAGTTCCTGCCTTGACCAATTCAAGCCGTTGGCAGATAGGTGGATATTATCCTTCAGTTCTTTTCACCCATTTGCTTGCTTGCTTTATTTTCTCAAAAGCCCAGGGAATATTCCTAGACTTAAAAAACAGTGTTTCCCTCAATTTCAGAATATAATTACATGTGAAATGCAATGTGTTACCAAATCTAGCACATAAGCTCAGACAAAATAATTCTGTCAAAATTAAGATATTTAAGAAAAGTAGTTTTGACGCTGTATTAAATTTCTTCTGCCATCCTGACATGTTTTCAGCTTATTAAGTACTATTTATTTATTTATTTATTTATTTATTTATTTTTATCCTCATCCGAGGACATTTTCTCATTTTTTTGTTCAGGTAGAGTGGGAGGGAGAGAGAGGAACAGAGAGAGAGAGAGAAACATCGATGTGAAAGGAACACATCGAGTGGCTGCCACCGCACGACCGACCAGGGCCGGGGACAAACTGCAACCGAGGTACGCGCCCTTAGCGGGAACCGAACCCGGGTCTCTCCGACCGCAGGTGGACACTCTAACCGCTGAGCCAAACCAGCCAGGGCATATTAAGTACTTTTTAAAGTGTATTATACCCATCACTTCCCAGCTTCCACTGTGCATCACAGATCTTCCTTGCTGCCTCCAGGACAACTCAAGCATCTTCTAGCCTTCATATATCTGTTTATTGTCATTGTTTTCCATCTAAATCTTACCCATTTTTC